AAAAAAAAAAAAAAAAAAAAGAAAGAAAGAAAAATAAATAGATAAAAGTCACTGAAAACAAAAAGAACAAAAAAAGTAAAGTCCTCCACTTGTAACAAAAAATAAACATTTGCCATAGATAGAGATGATAGGTAGATGATAGAAAGATGACAGATAGATAGATAGATAGATAGATGATAGGTAGATAGAGATAGATGATGGATGATAGAAAGATAGATGATGGATAAATAGGTAGGTAGATAATTGATAGAGCATTTAGTTAAGTAGTGCTAACTGCTCTGTAGACTAAAGCAAGGTTATTGTGTAGAGAGCAATGAGGTTGTACTTTTTAGATGGATATTAAAGTCTAGGACTTAGGGCTAAGATTCCGGACTAGGAATGTTTGAAAATAAACTTTGATTTTAATTAGTTATATCAATAGTAACAACCAACATTTATTGAGCACTTTACATACAGTACATGATTCTTATGGGTTGAGGTATAGTTTATCACTAGCTCTGTTTTACAGGGGAATAAACCAAGGCTTAGAGAAATTTAAAAGTTTTTTAAAATCAAGATTACAGAACTAATAAAGGTCAGAGACAGAATTCAAGCCCAGGTTTTCCTGAATCCAGTTCTGTGTTCCCACTTATAGAGCACATCCCTTTATTAAGTTTTTTAGTACACATGCTTAAGCAAAACTGCCAATGAACTATTTCTCCTCCCGCAGTTCCGGCATCTCGCCCCATCCTCACCCTCAGGACACTCAGAGTGCCCAGGGCCCAGGCTATGGTGGGGGACGTGGTAGAGCTTCACTGTGAGGCCCTGACAGGCTCTCCCCCAATCCTGTACCGGTTCTATCATGAGGATATCACCCTGAGGAACAGCTCGGTGCGTTCTGGAGGAGGAGTGTCCTTCAACCTCTCTCTGACCACAGAACATTCTGGAAACTACTCCTGTGAGGCTGACAATGGCCTGGGAGCCCAACGCAGTGAGATGGTGACACTCAGTGTTACAGGTAGGTTGGTGTTACCTGGGCTAGAGGTCCCAGTTATGGTCAATAAGGTATTTCTCTAGCAGATTGCACAAATTCTACCACTGTCAAGGAGTTTTTGAACATGCATGTCAGGGCTTAAGGCTTCTGGAGATTGGTACTGATTTTATGAGGGAAAAGGAAAGGAAATACATTTTAATCTTTGATTCTGGCAACTAGAATTGTTTTGAAAATTACAAACTATACCAGAGATAATTCAAATGGAGAAATCAGAACCTAGAAAATACCACCTGTGAGGGGTGGCACCTGTGGCTCAAAGGAGTAAGGTGCTGGCCCCATATATCAGAGGTGGCGGGTTCAAACCCAGCCCCGGCCAAAAACTTCAAAAACAAAAAAAAGAAAGAAAATACCACTTGCGTGGTATCCCAGATCTTTGCCATGGAACTCAAGTGTGGATCTCCCCACTAGGAACTCCCAGGAGCAGAACAGGCCTTGTCACTGGAGGAGCCATCTTGGGGCTGCTTAGTGTCCTTGGCCTTGCTGCCACTGCTGCCACTGCTGCTCTGCTGTGTCACTTCAGGACCCAGAGGAAATCACGTGGGTGTCTGTGTCCTCCTAGCCTTTGATGTTGTGACTTTGGCCATTGCTGTAATAATGTGGAGTTCTGTAGTGTGTCTGGTAAAGGTCAGTTATTCCTTTCTAAGTATTAAGTCATCAGTTGCAGTGCTGCTGTCACTCTGTAGGGAACAGTAACTAAAACATGAAACAAACTTGTCAGTGAAGTTCTTACCTCATGAGATTTATAGCTGAAAGCAGAGTTTTGCTTCCAATTAAAAATTATAAAATTAGCTATTTACTTTCATTCCAAAGTCACTGAAAACAAACAAAAAAAAGAGAAAGTCCTCCACTTGTAACAAAAAGTAAACACTTGCCATAGGTACTACCATAAATGTTGAGATATATTAGAATACCAGTTAAATATAGTGACATTTGGATACCACTAATAGAAAATGCCAAAAATGATATTAAAAATTTCATTTCTGGTTGTTTGTTGCTAATATGTAGAAATACAACTGATTTTTTTGTATGTTAATTTTATAACTTGAACGCTGGCTAAACTCACTAATTCTAGTATCTGTTTTGCAGATTTTATCAGATTTCCTATGTGGACTATCATGTTGTCTGCTACTAAAGACATTTTTACCCCTTCCCTTCTAATCTTAATTCCTTTCATTTCTTTTTCTTGCTTGAGTGCCCTGGTTGGAGCCTCCTGTACAGTGCTGATAGAGATGGTGAGAGAAGACGTCCTTGTTGAGTTCCTGATTATAGGCGAAGTTTTCCATCTCTCACCATTAAGGATTATTTTAGTTGTGGGCTTTGTGTAGATCTGATTTGTCTTCTGGAGGAAGTCCCTACTATTCCTAATTTGCTGAGAGTTTTTACCAAAATGCATGTTTGTCAGTGGAGAGTGGAAAGATAGATAACAGAGACTTGGGATGTATAAATAAGGAGAGGAGGGAAAGAAGTGGGTTAAAGTGCACAAACATGAAGTATGACAAAGGAATAAATCCAGTGTTTGATAGTAAACAGGGTGACTAAACTTAACAAAAACGTTTTGCAGTTAATGATGGACATCCTGAATACCTTGACTGGATCACTACACATTACATACATGTCAAAATTTCTCATGGACCCCATAAATTTGCTAAATTAAAAGTGGAGGAACAACGTAACCAGAAAAAAAAAAGAAATAAATGTTTGTCAAATGCCTTTTCTACACTGATTAAGATATAATCATGTAGTGGTTTTTAGTCTATTTATAAGGTGGATTTTTTTAAAACTTCAGATTAAAATAAGGGTACATAAAATTAGGCTGCATTATTTGCATTTCTTAAGTAAAGTCCAAATTGCAGTTGAGCCCTTCACCCAGGAGGTGTGCCATAACCCCCTGCATCATACTCAATAAGTGAGAGGTTACCACACAACCTTTCTCCTCTCCCCTTCTTGAATTTACAATCACAAACAACAACCCCAGTGCTCATCAATCCATGAATGGATCAATAAACTGTGGTGTATGTATACCATGAAGTATTATTCAGCCATAAGGAAAGACAGAGACTTCACATCTTTTGTATTTACCTGGATAGATTTGGAGAACATCCTCTTAAGTAAAGTATCACAAGAATGGAAAAGCAAGCATCCAATGTACTCAATACTAATATGAAATCAGTAGGTGAACAACCACACAAAAGAAAACCACATAAGGTGGATTTTGAATGTGGAAGCAGCTTTGCATTTCTGAGGTCAATCCAAGTTGGTAATGATTATTTGATTTGATTTTCTAAAGGTTTTTGTTTTTTTTTTGCAGCTTTTGGCTGGGGCTAGGTTTGAACCCACAACCTCCAGCATATAGGGCCAGTGCCTTACTCCTCTGAGCCACAGGCACCACCCCAATTTTCTAAAGTTTTGTTAAGAATGTTTACATCTGTGTTTACAAGGTCTATTGGTTGATAGCTTTCTTTTCTTGTCATATCTTTGTGTCAAAGTAATGCCCATTTAGTTACCACTTCTAGTATTCTTCATTCCTTTTCTATAAATCCATATTTTCACCTTATATTACTTTTGTTCTGCTGAAGGACTTGACGTGTAGTGTAGTATAGATCTGCTGGTGAACTTGATTGACATGTTATTCAAGTCTTCTATGTCTTTACTGAATTTTGTTTACTTGATCTACCTATTATTGAGATGGGGGTTTGAAATCTTTTACTATAATTGTGGATTTGTCCATTTCTTCTTGCAATACTATCAAGATTTGCTTTGAGAATTTGGTGCTCATTAGGTACATAAATGTTTAAAATTGTTATGTGTTTTTGAGTAAGTACTTTATCTTTATGAAACGACCTCCTTTAGCCCTGATAGTATCATTTATCTGTCATAATCTTTGATATTAATATATTAATATAATTAGTGTTAGCATGATATTTCTTTTCCAATCCTTTTTACTATTTGGGCTCCTGTATTTAAAGTACTTTTCTTTTTTTTTTTTTTTTTTTTGAGAAAGAGTCTTACTTGGTCACCCTTGGTAGAGTGCTATGGCGTCACAACTCACAGCAACCTCTAACTCTTGGACTCAAGCAATTCTCTTGCCTCAGCCTTCCAAGTAGCTGGGACTACAGGAGCCTGCCACAACACCTGGCTACTTTTAGAGACACTCTGACTCAGGCTCCAGCTCCGCCTGCCTTGGCCTCCCAAGTGCTGGGATTACAGGCATAAGCTGCCACACCCAGCCTAAAGTACATATTTTTTAAGATAGCATATGGTTAATTCTTGCTTTTTAAAGTCAAATATGATAGTCTACTTTTTAAATGAGGTTTTTAGACCATTTACAATAATGTAATTATTGATATGGTTAGGTATCTGTCTATTTTGCTATTTGTTTTTGATTTGTACTATCTGTTTTATGTTTTTCTATTTCTACCTGCTTTTGGATCAGTTGAGTATTTTTTATTACTCTATTTCTTTTGGCTTATTATCTGTAAGTACTTGTTTTGTTATTTTAGTGACTTTAGGGTTTATAGTATACATCTTAAACTTGTCTCTCTTCCTTATACTATGTCACTTCACCTGGAGTGTAAGAATCTTACCATGGTGCACTTCCTCTTTCCCCTCCCAGATACGTTATTATTTTGGTAAGTAATAAATTATCTCTTAAAGAGATTTACATGTAAGTAAAAATGTTAAATATTTACTCATGCAGTTACCACCTCCAATATTTGTTATTCCTTTTTGTATATCATATCTCCATCTGGTATTATTTTCTTTCTACCCAAAGGACTTATTTTAACATTTCCTGTAGTACAGGACAAGTCTGCTGGTAATAAATTATTTCAGCTTTTTATGTCTGTAAAAATCTTTGTTTTGCATTTACTTATAAAACATATTTTTGCCGACATAGAATTCTGGGTTGACAGGGTTTTTCTTATCAGTACTTTTAGAATGTTTTTCCATTCTTCTTTTCATATGTATTATTTCTGACAAGAAATCTACTGTCATCTTTATCTTTGTTCTTCTGTTACTGCTTCTCTCTCTCTCTGAATTGTTTTTCATGAAACAGGAATATTTGAATGTATGGAATCCTTTATTGGGTGGTTTGGTTGGCAAAGTTTTAAGACTTTAGATTTCGAAACGGCCAATGCTTTACTTCCTGTCTGGCCTCCATGTGACACAGGTGGCTTTTTCTTTTCTGTCAGGACAAATGTTTCTGTCCTCCCTTTCTCAGGGACCATACTGAAAATCAAGCAAATAAACAAAAAAATAAATAAAACATTTGGACCTCAATCTGATGAAAAATCTTAGGTATTTTTCTCAGTCATCCTGGTAAGCATTATCCTTTTACTTCTTACCTTTATTTCCAAGTCAATCAACGATCCTCTATCTTTCTACTTGTTTGTAAGAAAAGTGGCACCAACTGATACATGTATTTCAGAGATACTTAATATTGTCTTAAATAAGATTACATATAAAATTATGTATATGTATTTGTATTTTTTAAATATATAAAAATAATAAGAATACTAACCCCAATAGTACCTATCATAAAAAATATCATTCATTTAGAACCTATTGTATGCAGTTTTATAGTTTATCTAATTCAGTTATTTAATAAGTATAATTCAGTTGAATTCAATTGATATTATCATAATTACATTAGAGATGAAGGAGTGGAGGTTTGAGGAGTTAAATAAACTCCCCATATTTACATAGGTATCAACAATCAAGAGTCAGACATTAACTGGAATCTACCTAACCCTTGATTTTATACCCTGTCTATTGTTCATTGATGACTTGTAGAAGGCTGATTATATTTCCTAAAGTTAAAATTATTTTTTCCTCTTTCTCTCTCATCACCTATTTGGGATATGATTTGTTAATCTGTCATATACTAGAAGAAAACATTAGAATCTCAAAGTTACAGTGAATAATGTTCAAAAAATAGACTGCTCAGTCAACACAGTACCAGGGAAGGAAAGAATACTACTGTTTTATGTATCCATGTGAGCAGAAGACCCCGTGGTTCTGTCCCCCAGATCTGAGAGGATCTTTTAAGTAGTAAGCTCACTAAGGAACTAGGACAGTTTACAAAGCAGAGGGTCTCTGCCCTTCTCTTCTCAAAATATTTCCTGCTGTTCCCACCATAACAAATCTTCCCTTCTCATCATGGACCAGGCTTTTCAGAGAGGAGCTCAGACCTCCCAAACTTTTCTAAAAATGGAGAAGTCTGCTCCTTGTCTGAGTGACTCCTATAAGTTATCAAAAGGAGTGGTAAATCCATCCATCAATTCTGTAGTCAGACTAATTGGGTTGAAATTCCAGTAATGTAACATGCCAACAACTTGATACCGGGCAAGCAAATGAAACTCTCCAAACCCCACTTTCTTCATCTATATAGTGGTTTTAATAATAGTATCTGCCTTTTAAGTGCTATGAGATCATTGAGGTGACCTCCTTAGGACCATGCCTTGCCCAGGTCTCCAGGAAATGCCAGATTGTATTATAAACTACCAGCTCTCTAGATCTTGGTTTTCCCTTTTTTACACAAGGAGCTAGAATGACTCTCAGGTGCATCCTGGGACCGAGCTAACTGCCCACTGGGAAGACATTGGCTGCTGGCTGATGTGGAGAGAGATACAGGACCAGATTATGACTGTGTATCTCTAGTTTCATTGAGAAGGCCCAGGCTTATAGGCATCCTTTGGGTTCTTTTCAGGAGCATCAAGGCTGGCAATTACTTGATGTGAGCCCAGCGAGACAGCTATGGGGCCAGAGATAGAAAAAAGGCCAAGGACAGGGATGGAAACTGTGGAAGAGCCTTGTAGTGGAGCATGCCAGGAAAATTTCAATATTTCAGTGATGGAAAATTGCCATATTTGTAAGGCTGATACAGCAGGCTTCAAAATTAGATTTACCTTTTTTCAGACCTTAAGAACACTTTAAAATTTGCTCAGATGTTTAACAAATATTTATTGAGTATTTTCAACTGCTAGGCAAGGCACTGGAAATACAAAAAAAAAAAATGAAGATAAAGTTTTCAGCCTCATATAGCACATCTTTTCATGAAGGAACAAACAAGAAGCAAACACAGAAATAATTACAATACAATTTAGTAATGTTTATATTACATAGTTCTATATGTCGGTCACTTAATCCAGCCTGTTGACATCAGAGAAAGCGCTAGAGGAGGAAAGATAGATTGGAATTACCCAGGTGAAAGAAAAGGAAAAACCATGGACCTCAAATGTGCAGTTCAGCGTAGCTAGAATGGATTGGCAGGGGTCACGGCTGGAGGAGAAGATAGTTGAGCTTATTGTGGTGTTCCCCCTCTAATCATACTTGTGTAGCAATTCTGAATAAATTCTAAGCCCCTCTTGGCTTTCTGGGCCTCATTCTCCTTCTCTCTGCCCCATAGGGCTGCAGTCAGGACAAAAGGTGGATGTGGGAAAGCACTTGGCGGCCCAGAGTTAAATATTAACTTGTCCCCCTTCTGCTCCTCAGTCTCAGCTGCTCAGAGCTGCTGTTCACAGGACCATTACTGATTGAAAAATGGTTCAGAGTGAGTCTGATTCTGGCCAAATGTCTGTCAAGACCCACCTTCCTCACCTATAACATGTCATGGGGAATGGAGCTGGATGTCCCCTAGGATCTGCCACAGCTGAGGTCTAGAGCGAATGTGGTTCCCAGGGGACAGTCTAACTAACACAGGGCGTGTCACCTGCTCAGCTGGCTCACCACCAGTGTCCCTTTGCTTTGCAGGAGGACTTCCTGCCACTGGAACCTCCAGGTGAGTCCCTGCTGCTAGTGCTACTGACATTTCCATGACTGACTTACCCCCACAAGATGGGGACATGGAATCACCTGTGTCTTAAAGAGATTTGAAAAGATTTCCTGTTTCCTTTTTCATATTCTTACAAAATCCAAAACTGTGATTAGAAGGCCACTTTCATTCATATTTGTGAATGATACTTACACAAGAATGCATGTTGCATGTTATTTTTTATCTGTATTTATTTATCTGCTTGCTTAAATGTGTCCAGTATAGACTTGACCACTGCCGTCTTCATGAAGTCGTCCTTCCTAGGGCTACAACTTCTTATCCCCTCCTTCCTTGCTCCTCCACTCATCCACTCATTTGGGAAACAATCATTGAATGCCAACAATGTTCAAGTCACAATATTAACTGCAGAAGGAAATAAAATTGGGGAAAGATACCCTTATGGTAACTTATGGGAAAGTTAGATTATTTTCATATAAGGTAGGTAATTGAAAGGAAACTTTTTTTTTTTGAGACAGAGTCTCACTATGTCACCCTCAGTAGAGTGCTGTTGCGTTGTTGCAGCTCACAGCAAACTCCAACTCTTGGGCTTAAGTGATTCTCTTGCCCCAGCCTCCCAAGTAGCTGGAACTACAGGCACCCGACATAGGAACAGTCAAACTAACATCCCTGAGCTACAGGTGCCAAGCTGAAAGGAAACTTTTTTAAAAAAAGTAAAGTTCACATTCTGTGAGACTGCGGAACCATAGGAAGAGAAATAGCAGAGCATGTCACACAGAGGATGAGGGCATTATCCTCCTCTCTCTTCAAAGGACTTTATAGTTCTGACATCTAAGAGAGGCAGGATGTCACACCAAGCTGCCATAAATGAGGACTAGGGGAACAGAGGCCAGTGGGAATGGTGTGAATGTACCCCACAGTGGTTACAGCCAGCAGCTGTGGCTTAGCTGGCAGTGATGGAGGACATCAATGCTCTCTGGTGAAACTCAGCTCCCATGGTGTTAGAATTTAAGGGAGGAGGCCACAGGGACACTGTAGTGTTATCTCCAAAATGGTGGCAATAGTAGATATCAGCCCCAGCTAATTGTTTTTTGAGACAGAGTCTTACTATATCACCCTCAGTAGAGTGCTGTGGCATCACAGCTCACAGCAACCTCAAACTCTTGGGCTTAAGTGATTCTCTTGTGTCAGCCTCCCAAGTAACTGGGACTACAGGCACCTACCACAACACCTAGCTATTTTTTGGTTGTACTTGTCATTGTTGTTTGGCAGGCCCAGGCTGGATTCAAACTCACCAGCTCCGGTGTATGTGGCTGGTGCCCTAGCCATGAGCTAAAGGTGCTGTTTTAAATGTTTTAAATACATGTGAAACTTTCCCAGTGGACTCTTAGAAATATTATTCTGGGCTCAGCGCCTGTGGCTCACGGCTAAGGCGCCAGCCACATACACCTGAGCTGGTGGGTTCGAATCCAGCCCGGGCCCACCAAACAACAATGACGGCTGCAACCAAAAAATAGCTGGGCGTTGTGGCGGGCGCCTGTGGTCCCAGCTACTTGGGAGGCAGAGGCAGGAGACTCGCTTGAGCCCAGGAGTTGGAGGTTGCTGTGATGCCACCGCACTCTACCCAGGCCTCCTCTTGCTGCACACTCCTGATACTTTCTCAAAGAAGCTGTGCTGAAGCGGCTGCAATATTTTACAAGAATCATGCTGGGCTTTGTGGCTACTGACTTCTTTAAGACTCCATGTAAACCACAAATACTTCTTATCCATTATCTCTTCCCTTTTGTCACAGTTGCAGTCTCCATGAGTACCAGGTAGCTCCCTTGTCCAGACCTTCCAGGAGAGAGCCCGCCCACCAGGAGTCACTAACCCTCCCGCAGCTGCGCTCAGTGCACACCAGCGGTGAGGACAGAGGGCTTCAGCAGTGAGCCAGCGAGGGAGGAGGGGTTGAGCAACAGCCCACGGCCTGGCCACTAATTTAAAATGGCATTCCTGGCATTAGTTTGGGGATAGAAGGTGGCTACAAATTTGGAGGGTCTGGAGTGTGAGTTCTTGACTACAGACAACTACATCTTCTTTTCTTTCACAGTAAATCCGGAAGATAGTGACATAGTTTATTCCCAGATCTGGAGTTTCAAATATACAGCAGAAAACTCAGGTGAGATACTTTTTAGACAAGTAGGGGTGAGGTGGCAGTGGGTTATCCCATCCAGCAAGAGGTCTTGGATCACAGTCATCTCAAACACAAGTCCATCGTGAAGGCATTACCTGCACCTCCCGCTGCCAACCACATCCTCACCCATTCCCTGTCGTCTGTCCGTGTTGCCGTCCTGCCCCCATTACCCCACAGACTCTGAGGACAGACACTACCTATTTCACTAACATACCCACCAGCATCTAGCTCCATGCTTGGAAAGTGTAGGCCCTCTGCAATATTTTTCAAATGAAGGAATAAATAATCTAACGTGGAGACAATTGTAATTCTTTTAACTGGTCTCTTTATTTCTAGTCTTGTTCTCCTCCAGCTTTTCAACTGTCTGTTCACAACATAACCCCTTTGAGACGGACAGTGATTGCCTTGCTGAACCGTCTCCACAGCTGGCCCCTGGCCTCCCTCTGCACTCTGGCAGCTCCCCCACTCGCTGCCTTATGTCCTCCCTGGCTCCTCCCCATGTCCCTGTGTCAAGTGAAACGAGGCACCTCTGCTGCCTTCTCCAAGAGGATCTCCACGGAGGTCAGTGGCAGGTGGACGGGCAGGCGCTCAGCTGGGACAAGCAGAGGAGCAAGACAGAAATCATCGTAAAAGTCACTCTGAGCCTCTGGTGGAAGGGGAAAGGCTTTATGTTGTGTGCGGAGGGTAATTTTCTGTGAGGGTTTGGAAGAATTCAGCACAGGAAGCAGTCAAGAGCTGAGCCCAGAGGTGAAGAATGGCTCGGAGTATATTGCGAGGAGGCTGTAAGTTGGAATACGTTCTTTGCCCCCAGTCTAATAATTTTCTTTAATGCTCTTATCTGACAGCAAATCTGCCAGCTATGCATCGGGAGGACAAGGTGGGTTGCATTGCCTGACTTTCTTTCTCTCCGCCCTTCCTCTGCTGTATTCAGCTGTTCACCATCGTGCTTTCTTCTCCAGGAACATGAAATCTTTTATTCAAAATTGAAGGAGGTACCCCACAATGACTCCACAGGGCTGGCCCGCAGTAGAGACCAGACTTCTGAAGCTGATACAGGAAACTATGAAAATGTTCTATGTGCACCTCCAGCCTTGGACCGCTAGCCCCAGACCCAGCACGTCTGCAGAGACCCTGGGAGCAGCCCGTGCCCTTGCCCTGTTCTCTGCAATCACACTCCCTCTCGCTGTCCAGACCCTGCCTCCCAGCCTGAGCTGCAGGCATGGGGTCTGCACACAAGGTCTGCCAGTCTCCCCATGCCTGAGTCTCGGTGTTCTCTGGGATCAGCTTCTGGGCCAGCTCTGCATTCTGTTCCCAGTGAAGACACATGGCAGGGTGGAAGGGCCCTCAGCACCCCGGGGCTGTGAAATAGAGGAGAGAGAAACAACCTAACTGGGACCCCCACCATGACCATTTGATCTAGGTGTGATCAGAAGCTCTTAACATGCTATCTCTGTATAAACTTTGCTCTAAATAATTTGTTTCCTTTTCTGGGTAGCTGACAATGGCATTGGTGTATATTGCTATCACATTAAAAACAACCAAAACAAGGTATAGAAAAAGATCTTAAGATGACTCTGCCTCAAGTGCATTTTTATACTTGTGGGAGACATCCTCAACCAAATCCACATTAGTTATAATGAAAAATGACCTCAATGTTTCCTTAAAGTCTCTGCAGTCTGGTTTAATGTATGACCTTATGTGTGCAAAGAATGGCATTTGGTGTCATCTTTGCTCTGTGACATTGTCTAATCGTTTTCCATGCACGACCTAGTTTTTATTCTTATGAACACTCATTAATCCCAGAACAATGACCAATTCCATCTATGTGGCCTCCCCCATCCCATTCCTCTGACTCACTCCACCTGATGAAAACATATCTAGAACCTCAGGTTCACTATTCTCCTGCTCTCCTCTTTATATTGTACTAATGCATCCCTATGCTTCCTTTAAATATATATGTTTTTATATTTGTTGTTTTAACTTTATTAGTTAAAGGCTATATGAGTGTAGGTCGTTTTTTAAAACTTTTCACTTAATGTTGTATTTCTGAGATTCATTCATATTGTTCACGTTGCTATAATTCATTTGTTGTCATTGTTTAATATTTCTTTGTGGAAATATCTGGCTTGGTGTTTACCTAGTTATCACTATTCAAAAAATCATTCATCAAGTGTCTTAAATCTTGAATATGACAACAGTGGAAAAGATGCCAACAATTTTCAGTGATTAAGCCTCTTTTCTGAAATCCTAATATTCCCAAATATCTCTGAACCTCACAATCCCCAGGGACAGATGAGATCATACCATGTGTTCACATTAATCTCTGAATCTTGCCAGCTTGAGGCCCTGGGCTGGTTCACATAAGAACACCAGTCCCTTGCAAAGCATGTCTTCCTCTAATAAATATTTCTAGGAGTTCACAGGGAAAGTCTCATATCCATTTAAAACATTAGCCTGGGCTGATACCTACTATTGCCACCATTTCTGGAGAAAACACTACAGGGTCACTGTGGCCTCTTCTCTTAAATTCTAACACCATGGGAGCTGAGTTTCACCAGAGAACATTGATGTCCTCCATCACTGCCAGCTAAGCCACAGCTGCTGGGTGTAACCACTGTGGGGTACATCCACACTGTTCCCACTGGTCTCTGTTCCCCTAGTCCTCGTCTATGGCAGCTTGGCGTGACATCCTACCTCTCTTAGATGTCAGAGCTATAAAGTCCTCTGAAGAGAGAGGAGGATAATGCCCTCATCCTCTGTGTGACATGCTCTGCTGTTTCTCTTCCTATGGAAAACACAGGCCACCAGAGTAGCTGGATGTAGACAAGTCTGGGGGTCCCGGCCACCAGGCTGTCCTTGGAAGCTCTACTCCCATCTAACCCTGTTGCTAATTCAGAATCTCCATGTCAGGCTTCTTTGTGTCTTATAGTAAAATTTCTCTCAAGGACCTGTCATTTCTTACCACTGTTCATCCATTTTCTCCAATCTGAACCCAAGGGACTGACAAAGGTCAAGGCTTTCATTTTCTTTGTGATGATGCTTAGTCAGCAGGTGTGTGATGGAGGGAGGGGAAGGTCCTAACTGCGCCTGAAGCATAACCACAGTGCACCTTCTGATCTTCTGGAAAGGGAGTTACTCCTATGTGATGCTCCATCTGACTGTTAGCTCTGAATGGTCACCTGCAAACCCTGCAACCCAGAAATTAAAAATAGTAATTTTTAACGGGGAATTGGAAAGTAAAAGACATTTTCTAGCCTTTTTAATGTCTCCTTACATTAGCACCTCACCTCACTCATGGTTTGCCAAAGGGAAAGCCACATGAGAAGCTTAGATTTTGTCATAGTATATGTCCTATGTAGTATATGTAGTATATGACATAGTATATGTCATAGTATTTTGTCAATGTATAGTAAGAAGTTGGTTTTAAGATAAAATTAAAATAACCTAGAAACTAGAAGTGATGAGAAGAGGCTTCCTAGCCTTTTTAATGGTGATTAAGAATTCTGCCATTAAAAAAAAAGAGAATTCTGCCATTGCCAGGTGAATCTGGGAAGTGCAATTGAAAAGTCCAGAATATGGAAGAGTTCCCAAGATGCTCCCTTCTCTGGGAGCAACTGCTTCACCCCAGAGTCCCCATGTGCTCACAGCTCTTTCTGAGACACAATCTTCTTTGTTCCCTTTATGTGACGTGCTCCCCAACTCACGCAGCAGTTACTGAGCACCTACCATACGGCAGGTAATCATATTAACAACTAGCATTGGTGAATGTTCACTAGTCGCCAGACCCTGTGCTAAATGCTTTACATGAATTGTCTCAAAACAACCACATAGGGTAGATAGCACTGCGGTCCCATTTTATAGAAAAAAGGACTTCTGTCAGGGACAGACCATCTGGCTAGTGATTTCGTACCCAGTAAGAAGAGACAACAGGTTATCTGAATCCTCAGCATAAGGTCTCCACCAGCTTCTGCATTCACTGCCATGATTTTTCCTTTCTTGAACCACCTCATTTATGCCCTCAAATATTCTTATTCTATGAGTCTATCTTTAATTCTTTTTGTCCTCCTGTACAGTCAAACAATGAAGTACTATTCAACCAATTATGATGATAAGTATAGAATAATACAATAGAGACAAAGTAAGAAATTCATGGCTGCACTATCAATTAATTCTTTACAAGTGGGTCCTGAAACAGTTTCTATAAAGTAATATATTTACTTCATTTTTTTTTTTTTCTGAGACCAAGTCTTGCTCTGTCACCCAGGTTGCAGTACAGTAGTATAATCATAGTTCACTGCAGCCTCAGACTCCTAGGATCAACTGGTCTTTTGGCCTCAGTCTCTCAAGACCAGCTAATTTAAAAAAAAAAAAAAATTGTAAAGATGGGATCTTGCTCTGTTTCCCAGGCTGGTCTCAAATTCCTGGACTCAAACAATTTTCCTTCCTTTGCTTCCCAAAGCACTGGAATTATAGGCATGAGCCACCATGCCTGGCCAAAATTGGTCCATCTTAATAAAAAGAAAGAAGAAGGAAATGAATAAACACACAGACATGGCTATAAATGTAGATTTAGATACTATCTAAGTCCATTTGCATTGCTGTAAAGGAAAATCTGAGGCTGGGTAATTCATGAAGAAAACAGATTTATTTGGCTCACAGTTTAGCAGATTGTACTAAGAACCCGGCACAGCATGTGCTTCTGGTGAGGCCTGCTTCTACTGTGGCGGAAGTTGAAGGAGAGTCCATTGTGTCACCTGGAAAGATGAGGAGCAAAAGAGAGAGGGCAGGGGAGGGCCAGGCTCTTCTGAACAATCAGTTCTCCTGTGTTCTGACAGAGTGAGAACTCACTCATTACTTTGAGGATGGCACTGAGCCATTCATGAGGAACACACCCACCTCCCATCAGACCTCCCCCCCATTTGGGGAATCAAATTGCAATCTGAGATTTAAAGGGAACCTATATCCAAACTACATCAGATATTCATGAAACTGTGGGCAGTGGTTATTTATGGTTAATAACCCGCAGCAGCATTGTGCCAGAGAGCGGGCACAATGGGATTTTGGCAACTTTTGGTCCCCAATCTACACTCTTGACCCCAAAGCACCCAGTCTGCAGAGGGGTCCGCTCCATGGCAGCCACCTCCCCATGTCCCCTGCCATGTCAGAGAGGGAGCTCTGAGGGGGTCGCTCTCACTAGCCCTGTGACTGTGCCCTCCAGCCACTGGCCACTTCCCAGAGATCCCAGTCAAACCAGTGCCCACCGGCCCTCAGCATCTGCCACCACCACCCTGCCATCTCAATAGCACCGCCTCTGCCACGTGAGTAGCCCTGAAGCAGCTGCCACAGTCAGACCCATGTGGAGGGAGAGTTTCAGCCACCCGGACTCCCTGACACACGCTGCCAATCCTGTCCCACCAGTGGCCAGCCCACTGTAGGCTGCAATGCTGCAACCCACTCAGGCACAGGCCAAGATCCCTGACCTGTCCAGGTGCTTGCCAAGTTCCCGCTCCCAGCACAGCCTTTGCCAAGGTTCCAGAAACATGCAGCCATCCTCCAAGTTCACACCACCCAACCCACTGCTGGTTCCAGTCCCGTGACATGCCCACTCACCTTCCACGCTCCAGCAACTTGCCCAGACACTGGCCAAGGTCCCACTATGAGCCCTGCTAAGATCCTGCAACATGTCCCACCCACAGCTGCAGGCCTCTGATGCCACCAAGGTCCCAAAGTCTAGCCAAATTCTGCGCCCTCCCCCAAAGGATTTGCACAGCCCCTGCCAGAACTGCCGGAGCTTTCAACAGTGGCCTGGGAACCAAATCGCCAATCCGAACATTCCCCCAGCTCTGGCTTCACTGTGGCAACCACAGAGGACCAGAACTTTGTGGCTATTTCAGGCTGTCAGGGCTTCCGCCTGCTCCCCAAGGTCAGTCCTCCAGAGTAGGACACAAAAGCACTGTCCAGGGATTCCTCCTCTTTCTCACTAGCAGTGAAAGAAAGAAAGGGCATCCAAGCTGCAAAAGATGAGGTCAGACTATCCCCTGGTTCCCGAGATATTATCTTGTATCTAGAAAACCCTAAAGACTCCACTGAAAGACTCCTGGAATTGACAATTAAATTCAGCAAAGTCTCAGGTTACAAAATCAATGCACACAAATCAAAACATAAGCTCAAGGGAATGCTTCTGTGTTACTTCCTTTTCTATGGTAGACGCTCAGTGTTCACTGAATTGAGGAGTCTGTGAGTGAAGGGAGGGACGGCTTCCTTTGATCCTCCTGGTTGAGGCTTTGCATCTCCACATCCTTTGCCAGCTCAGGTCATATGGGCTGGTGAATGAGCCTGAACTTTGACAAGACACCCGGCTAGTTTTTTCTTTCTTCTTTTTTTTAGTAGAGACAGGTCTCGCATTTGCTCAGGCTGGTCTAGAACTCCTGAGCTCAATCAATCCACCCACGTTGGCCTCCCAATCCTGCTAGGATTACAGGCAGGAGCCACTGTGCCCCCCTAGGGACAGT